TTCAACTCAGCAGTGCAGGCTAAGTTTCATAGGACATGCGGTTTGAAGGTGACAGCAATGCAGCCTTCTGAAGCCGCTTCTACAACGTGAAATAACTGAATATCTTCACACAAACTTTAGTGAAAAGTGATTTATAACATCTTGCTTATAATATCATGCACTTTAATGCTGTATTTTTCATCTCATTGAAAAAATCAACGGTAAAGCCAACTTGAGTACTACCGTAACACTTCAAAATGGCGCCTAGCAATTTTCCTGTGCCAGCTCCAATGGACTTTAATGGAGATTTAAATGTGAATTGACATTCTTTCGTTCCTCAATGGGAAAACTATGCTATTGCTACTGAACTTGACAAAAAGATCCTAAAATTGTGGTTGCAACTTTCTTGAGTTTGATGGGAAATAATTGTTATAGAGTGTATCAACACCTAGACATATCTGATGAAGACAAAACAAAAAACCTAAACAAATTCTTGAAGCTCTTGAAAACATTTTCTACCTGCTAGAAATGTAATTTATGAACGCTATGTGTTTAACACTACAAATCAAGGAATTTCTGAAGGCATTGATGAATATGTTACTAAACTTCGCTAACTTGCTGCTTCCTGTGATTTTGGATCTCTTCAATGATGACTTGATAAGAGACAGAATAGTGTTAGGAACTAAAGACACTGGTGCTCGCTCACAAATGCTTCGAATCAAAACTTGATCTGAAACATGCAATTGACACTTGCAGAGCTAGTGAGATTGCTGCAAAGCAATTAAAGAAAATATCATCAAACAATGAAGAAGCTATACATCTTGTTAAACGTCCATTCAAGAAGAAGCAACAGAATCAAGCTAAAAAAGAAAAACCTAAGGGTAAACCACAAAGCAATAGTACAGAACATTTGCAGTACAGATGTAAATATTGTGGTGGACAACATAAACAAGATAGAAAATCATGCCCTGCATTTGGCAAGACATGTACATTCTGCAAGAGACTTCATCACTTTGCAAGTTCCTGTTTGAAAAAGAAACAAGGCAAGGGTAGTTTGCACTATCTTGATGCAGATGAATATGATGATGATGATGATGATTATTGCTCTGATGATGAACCAGTGTACTCTATTACCCACAGTGTTGGATCAGTTAAAACACGGGTAAACAGTGGTTTTCTGTAGACTTAAACTTGAAAGTTCCTAGTGAAGAATGGCTTACTTTCGACTTGAAGTGTCAACTCGACTCGGAACAACATGCAACATCATGAACTTCAGTGATTACTGTTATCTAGCTCAGCACGGAGATCCTCCTGTTGAGAAAAAGAAGGGCAAAACTTAGACTCTATGATCAATCTCTGATGAGATCACGAGGTGAAGCAACTTTGGAGTGTATTAGTGAGGGTAAGGCCCATGAACTGACATTTCAAAATTGTTGATGGACAGCAAACACCGCCTTGTCTGCTGAAACATGTGAAATCTTGAATCTCATGACTGTAAATGATCGTGGTGGTCTACAGTGTGCAGGAAGTACAGATTCCATCTTTGACATACTCAAGATAATGGACGATTATGGAGATGTATTTCTCGTGGACTTGGGTGTCTACAAGGTACCTACCACTTAGATGTCGATCCAGCCATCACACCTGTGCAGCATCAACCTCGCAGAATAGCAGTAGCTCTGAAGCAAGAAGTGAAAAGCAAAGTCGATGAACTTGTTGAGAAAGGTGTGCTTGCTAAAGTCACTGAACCAACTGAATGGATCAACAACAGCATGGTAGTTGTGAAGAAGCCAGGAAAATTGGAGGATATGCTTAGATCCTAAGGACTTAAATGTTGCCCTGAAACGCCTCACTACCAGATTCCAACCATAGATGAAGTTCTTTTCATCGCCTTGGTGAAGCCAAAGTCTTTTTCAACTCTTGACGAAAAGATGGCTTCTGGCAAGTTCAACTTGATGATGAAAGTAGCTACTTGACTACATTCTGACTCCTTTTTCGACGATATCGCTGGTTACGTATGCCTTTTGGCATCGCCACAGCTCCTGAAGAATACCAACGACGCCAGCATGAGGTCTTGGAAGGATTATCCGGTGTTGAGGTAATCCATGATTTATCCTTGTCTATGGATGTGGCTTACACACTTGATAAAGCCAACATCTACCATGACAGAAACTTGATCAAACTACTTGAAAGGGCCAGAAAATCAAACTTGAAACTGAACAAGTCAAAGCTTCGACCGACAATCAGCGCATTCCATACTTGGGTCATCTCTTAACTGCAGAAGGACTTAAACCAGATCCTGAGAAGGTATGCGCAGTCCAAGAAATGCCAAAACCAACTGATGCAAAGAGGTTCAAAGATTCATAGGTTTCATTAACTACCTATCAAAAATTCCTGCCTCGCCTCTCTGAAATATGTGAACCTCTCTCAGACGCCTCCTTGACAAAGATGCAGTGTGGTGTTGGTATTGATCAGCATGAGAAAGCCTTTGAACAGATCAAAAGTATGGTGACAAGTACTCCTGTACTCAAATACTATGATGTGAACGAGGAAGTCACTATACAAGCGGATGCGAAAGTGAAGTAGGCCTAGGCTAACGCTTCTACAAAACGGACAGCCCGCCTGTTTTGCATCTAGGTCTCTCTCTGAAACTGAACAGCTTACGCCAAGAAATTGAAAAAGAATGCCTTGCCATTGTGTTTGCGCAGTGAACGCTTTCGATCAGTACGCTTCATGGACGGACGCGATACATGTCGACAGTGACCATAAGACTCTGCAGAGCATTTTCAAGAAATCTCTGCTCTCTTCTCCAAAGAGACTCCAAAGAATGCTCCTCAGACTACAAAAGTACAAGCTTGGAAGTGAAGTACAAGAAAGGGTCAGAAATGTACATAGCAGACTTTCTCTAGAGCATCACTTCCGAGAAAGAAAGTTGAAACTTCAGCAAAAGAGACTATGAGATATTCTCAATCACAGAAGAAAATGCTCTGTACAATGAATTTGAAGAAGTAAACGCCATGAGTACATCCCTGTCACTGATCAAAGACTTGATCAACTACAACGCTTTGAATGATCAAGACACAACGATGCAAACTCTGAAGTCAACTGTTCTAGCCGCTGGCCAGAACGCCGTGGATGAAACTCCTGTGTGCATCCGAGACTTCTGGAATTTCAGAGAAGAATCCAACAGTACAGAACGGTGTTCTGTACAAAAGGTGCCGTGGTCGCGGATTCCCTATGCACTCAGAGCAGAAATGTCTAACGCATTCATTCCAGCCATCTTGGGGCTGAAGCATGTGTCCGTAAGGCTCGTGGATGTTCTGTACTGGCCGAACATGAGTTCCGGCTATCAAGGACTATGTCGCCAAATGTACAACGTGTTGTGAACTGTCTGACAAACAACCCAAAGAACCTCTCATGACACATGACATACCGACAGACCATGGAGCAAGATCGGAGCCGACATCTTCACATTGGATGGGGACGACTACCATACAAGTAGACTACTACTCTGACTACTGGGAAGTCGACAAACTTCAAAGTACAACATCTGCCAGTATCATTGAGTGTATGAAGATGCAATTCAGTCGCCACGGTATCCCCGAAAAGGTGGTGACTGACAATGGTTCTCAACTAGCATCCGCAGAATTCTAACACTTCTCAAAAGATTGGGAATTTGAGCATGTGACATCATCTCCCTATCACAGTCAATCTAATGGGAAAGCGGAGTCAGCGGTCAAGATCACAAAGAGACTTCTCACGAAAATCCAAGAGAAATGGCAATGATCCGTGGAAAGCCATTCTGGACTGGCTAAACACACCAACAGAAGGAATGGACAGCAGCCCAGTCCAACGCCTGATGTCACTTAATTTTCAACTCAGGTAGAACAACACTACCTATAGTGAGTCAGCTCCTGAAACCGAAGAACGCGGGAAAATGTTGTGGCTAAAAGTGTGATAAGCTTAAGAAATCTAAGCTTTATTATGATCGTGGTTCTAGACCACTACCTGAATTGACCACTGGTCAAGCTAAAGCGCTATTCAGCCATCTCCAACAGATCGCAGTGGAAAGTGGCGACTAGGTACATGTGTGGAACAAGTGTCCCCAGATCATACATTGTGAGTATTGATGGAAAGAGTACCATCGCATGTCAGAAATTCCTCAAACACACAAGTGAGGAAATCACTGAGTCTGGAGGAAAGCCTGACTATCAACCAGTCAACCCCGAGATAGTCAAACCTCCCATGCCAGCGTCGCCGTTAAAGATGTTCAACAAAAGCCACCAACTGAACTGAGTTCCCAGGTGTTCGTCATTGCCTCGACAAGAACTGTAAAACCACCCACAAGATTCACAAAAGATTTTGTGCCAAAATAACTTTTATGAGTAACTGTGATTCATAAGCTAATGTTCAGCTTAAAAGTGTTAAAACTTTTTATCTTCAAAGACTTTTAAAGTTATAGGTTTATACAAGGTGTAAAACCTATATGTTTAAATTTATTTCAATTAAGTTTTTTATTGATTTATCAAATATGGACTTTAAATGCTCAACAATATTATCCCAAGTGCCAATGGATATTCTAAATATCTAGCTACTGTCCAATAACTAGTTTATTTCAATTATGCATTTCATGTTTCAATTCAGTAATGCATGCCAATTGAAGGGTTTAGTAACGTTTCATGTTCTTAATGTTTATTGCTATAATTGGTAAATTCTTCATGTATGAAAAAGAGGATGTTACGAGATTAATCATATTTCGTATTAATCTTATGCCAGCTTTTGTATCAACCCACACGAGGGTCGACGTCGTGTATGTAACCCGCCATTGGGAATAAACCATCAAACATGAACACCTACCCATCGATAATCACTGACAAACAGTGGAAACTCGGAAGTGATTTTCCCTCAAGGCTCCGGGAGGCCGACCCATGACAACAAAATGACAAAAGAATGACAGACCATGCTGACTTTGCCATCTTAAAGCTTACTTTACTCCTTGTTGTTACGAATACCGGACTTACCGTATAAAATGATTCCAACCACAATGTATATATATAACTTCCCTTTGCTCCGCCGTTTTCTCAGGTCGCCCCCACTGTCATGAAACTCGTACAACCGCTCTTACCGTCTGTGTCAATGAACATCTGGATAGCTCCATGCAGTGGTGCAAGAACTCGGTTATGGTAAAGTGCAATACAGTCACTGTGCATTGAGTTTGAACTTCTGCCATGCGTAAAACGCTCCCCAAAATGATCATCATGGATGTTATCCATCATCGCACCGAAAATAGAAAACACTGATCATGCTTGAGTGCAAACTATGATGACAGTAACGTTAGCTATTAATGTAGAAAATGCCTCTCAAACAAGATATAAATGTAGAAGCTGGGCTTTTCCGCTCTCGATCCAGTCGAGAGTAAAGCAAATCGTTTGTTTGTGAAATTAAAAAGGAAGGGCCGACAAAATAATACTACGGAAGTGCTAAGGGACCTGATGAAATAAAATTTATCAGAGTTAGTACGTTGAGTGCACAAGTTGGGGGCGTATGAACAAGGGGGCGTAAGAACAGGGGACTTAGCCCCCAACTACCCTCACATTTTCAAGACGAAACCGTATCTACCTTTACCATAACTACAATTTCATTTTTGATTTTCAATACTTTCATAAATAAGCCACCCCCCCCCCACCCCCTGCCGCTCTGAAAACCGTTCCTAATGCCCTGCAAGTTAATATATTGAGCGCAACATCGTTAGTATGTTGAGTGCACAAATTAACATCTTGAGCCCTCAAGGGGTGCAGGCTAAGACGGAACCACAGCAAAACGGCACCAGGCGAAAACGGCACCATTTGGACATAACGGAACCTCCACTTGGCGAAAACGGCTACAAATCTTATGGTGAAAACGGCACCAAATAAAAATTATAATTATTGGGAACATCTTATTTGTCATTATTTGTCATTAGATAATCTGAATACAGAATTTTGAAGCCGTCTACTCTGCCGACAGTGATTGGAAAGTTTGTGTTAGCTGATAATCGGATTCCAGTATGTTTAGATAATGAATGAGTTCGACTGATAATCGGTTTGTAGAATGTTCTCTCGATAGTCAAACATCTACTGTGCCGAGAGTGATTGGAAAAGCCTGTAATTTAGCGTGAAAACATCACAACCTTTTGATGTTTTGCGCACATTTACTCAACTCAGACTTATACAGGAAGGAAGGTTGAGCAGGCATACATCCGAAAATCCTCAACAGCTAGGGCAGGAGGAGGTTTTCGAATTGTGGAGTTAATTCAAGGATGGAGACCTGTCTCTGTCGCAGCTACTGTCAAGATGTGCGATGATCCATGGACCAATCGTTCAAGCATCCGGCCAAATATGGACGTGTGAACATGTGTTATGTTGACGGTTTGTTATCGTCTTTATTATAATCTTGTTATTCTAATGTAATGGTTGATTGAGTGAGTTATGATTTTACGCCGCTTTTAGCAATATTCCAGCTATATCGCGTGTTATAATCTTGCTGAAATAAAAACCATAAGTCAACGTCATACTGTGCCTTTTATATGTTGATTCTAATGTTATAATTAAACGAACTACAACATAAAAGTCAACATCATACTGTGTTTTGTACATGGTGCCGTTTTAGCTCAGAAATCAGTAGCCGTTTTCGCCAATACGGTGCCGTTTTCGCCGCACGATTTTGGTGCCGTTCTGCTGTGGTTCCGTTTTAGCTATAACCCCTCTCAAGAGAGTTTTCTTGAGCGCACAAGTTAATATATTGAGCGCTCAAGTTAGTTATCTTGAGCGCACAAGTTAGTATCCAGCTTGTGCGCAATATGTTAAAATCGAGCGCACAAGTTAGTATCTGAGCGCTCGACTTCGTGTTTAGTAAGTGAGTTTGTAATCTCCACATATTCTCACTCTGCCACTGTTCTTGACAACGGGCACAATAGGTGCCGCCCACTTTGAGAACTGCACAGGTCTTATAACTCCTTGCCTTTCCAACCTATCAAGTTCATTTTCTACCTTTTCTCTCAATGCGTAGGCCACATTCCTATGTTTGTAAAATCTTGGCACATCTGCTGTTATCTGAATCTGCACTGTCTGTACCTTGAGTTCTCCCAAATCTTCTTGAAAGACTTCTTCATGTGTTTTTATAATGTCCTGCAAACCTTCATTCCTTATGTTCATGATTCTCCCCCAGTCTATCTTGATCACTTGTAACCAGTCTCGGGTCAAGAGATTCTGACTATCTCCTTCAAGAACAGTCAAGGGTAACCTTGCATTTTGATGCCCATAGCAGACTTCCACTTCAGTGGTTCCAAGAACCGGAATTGTCTCCCTATTATAACTCCTCAGAATTTCCTTTGCCTCTCTCAGAGCTGGCCTTTCCTTCCACAGAGAGTTGTATGTTCGTTCGTTGATCACCGTGGTAGCTGCCCCTGTATCCAATTCTAAGGTTACCTTTTTCCCATTAACAGTTACCACGATCATGTAGGGTTCTGCTCTAACTGATCATCTCCTGTCTGGATTGCATTCAGTTCTGTACATTTCATATTCAACTTTTTCCTCAACTGGCTTCTCTTCAATGTGATGAGCATGAATTCCTCTTCCCTGACCACTGTAATGACCACGCTGACCATGACCACGTCCCCTACCTCGACGATTACCTCTAAACCCATGCCCACGCTGATGTGACGGGTAATTCGGTGTAGAATGACAAACTCTCGAAAGGTGACCACGTCTTCCACACCTGTGACAGTCACTGTTCCTATGGAAACACTGTGACCCTGTGTGAAACATGCCCCCACACCGGTCACACTTTGCCGATCGACCTTCGCCAAGCACAGAAGTTTTATTCACAGTCCTAGGTGGTTGAGTTTCTTCTTTAATGGTTTGAACTTCATTAGCTGCCATTTCCATTCCAACACAAAGTGCATAGGCTTTATTATAATCTAAAGTCTTTTCTGTCAAAAGCCTCTTTTGCATTTGATCATTATTGATTCCACACACCAACCTGTCTCAATATCTGGATAATCACATGTTGATGCAAGGCTCCTCAGTTCCGCTACGTAAGCCGAAACACTCTCATTCTGTCTCTCATATTGAAGTGTCGCCGCTCCACCATGACCGTTCGCTTTGGACTAATGTGATTCTTCATTAACTTGACAATTGCCTCAGTAAGAGATTGCCCGGTTTCGACGGTATGGTCAGATTCCTCAAAAGTTTATAAGATTTACTTCCAATCACACTCAAAAGAATTGCTCTTTGCTTTCCTGCATCTTCAATACTATTTGCAGTGAAATAATGTCCCAATCTCTCAGTATATTCGCCCCAATCGTCACTATCGGGATCAAATTCCTCTATTTTCCCAAACGCCGCCATTTTGTTTGATTTTCACTTACGCGCTTTCCGTTCTCTTCATTCAGGGTCCCGGGAGATTTCCTGATGAGTTTTTCTCACACCTGGATTCGAAATTCCACAGCCTTATAACCTTGTATCCTCGTCGCTAAAATGTGGTATCGTGACTAACATTCTTCCAAAAGCACACGACATGACTTGGAGAACAGCGGCTTTATTTCGGTCGGCTGAAGCATACAAACTTGGGCAGAAAGCACGTGGCCCGATGACGTATGGTCCCATCATGCATTGGGGTACACAGGGAGCAGTTGTTTTCCTCCTGTAGTTAAGGGAGCGTTACTAGTTACATTACTACACACATTTTAACGTCTTTTGGTATGACGCGGTCGGGGATCGAACCCGCGACCTTCCGCTCTTGTGGACAAACGTGACCGACAGACGCTTGAGAGAATAATTACGGACAATGTAGCTCGGGGTACTCATATAATTACGGACTGTTGGAAGGGTTACGACGGACTTGTTGGCCTGGGTTTGTTCACACAAATGTAAATCAATCAGAAATTTCAAAGGTATTTGATGATATTGTTGGTATTTATCATATTGACGTCTTTGTAATTTCTTATGTCATTTTGAATTGACTGGTGCTTGCACCAACCTCATAGAAAATAGGTGGTGGTGCGTGAAGAGGCAGTTGCCTGCGACACACACTGACTTCACGCTACACCTCGCCGAGTACATGTACAGAACTCGTGTACAAGGGGACGTGTTTACTACACTCCTGAAATACATTGGTTTAATGTACCCCGGGGAACGTTGATGGAACTCTTACCCCGGGGAGGGTAACAGGGGATGAAAAATCTGAACCCATCCCAGCCCTAGCGTCACCTATCCTGGATGTTTCCAACGCTAACAATTACCGGTATATTTCAGATCCACCACAGAGGAAGCAAGAACCTGGTGTTTAACTTAGGGAAAATATGCAGACTTTTGGAAACCTGATTCTGCTTCTGATATATTTAGTAAATAAAACGTGTCAAGCGATAGTGTATTTTGTGTGAAATCAAATTCCGTTATCACCTCTATAGTTTTACCCCAAATCTACGCAGAGCTCCACTGACATCACATGTTACCTACCCATCGATAATCACTGACAAACAGTGGAAACTCGGAAGTGATTTTCCCTCAAGGCTCCGGGAGGCCGACCCATGACAACAAAATGACAAAAGAATGACAGGCCATGCTGACTTTGCCATCTTAAAGCTTACTTTACTCCTTGTTGTTACGAATACCGGACTTACCGTATAAAATGATTCCAACCACAATGTATATAACTTCCCTTTGCTCCGCCGTTTTCTCAGGTCGCCCCCACTGTCATGAAACTCGTACAACCGCTCTTACCGTCTGTGTCAATGAACATCTGGATAGCTCCATGCAGTGGTGCAAGAACTCGGTTATGGTAAAGTGCAATACAGTCACTGTGCATTGAGTTTGAACTTCTGTCATGCGTAAAACGCTCCCCAAAATGATCATCATGGATGTTATCCATCATCGCACCGAAAAATAGAAAACACTGATCATGCTGAGTGCAAACTATGATGACAGTAACGTTGGGGCTATTAATGTAGAAAAATGCCTCTCAAACAAGATATAAATGTAGAAGCTGGGCTTTTCCGCTCGGATCCAGTCGAAAGTAAAGCAAATCGTTTGTTTGTGAAATTAAAAAAGGAAGGGCCGACAAAATAATACTACGGAAGCGCTGAAGGGACCTGATGAAATAAAATTTATCTGAGTTAGTACGTTGAGTGCACAAGTCGGGGGCGTATGAACAAGGGGGCGTAAGAACAGGGGGACTTAGCCCCCCC